CGACGCACGACGGGCGACGCACGACAGACGACGCACGACGGCAGATATAGAATTCCATAAGAAACAGGGAAGACTTATGTGAGAGCGTATTCTTGTTCCAGTTTTGATCCTCTCAGACAATGCTGTTATGATTGGAAAAGTGGTCAAATAGAGCCCACTTTCTCTTTATGTTTGAAACAGCCGAGGAAAGGAAAACAATTGACTTATAAGAAGTAATGCTGTTTTCGAATACACAAGAAATATAACACCTTGACCATCCAAATTGCACTGTATATTGGCCATGAATTATTGCGGAATTTCATGCAAGTGGTCACACAATGACAAGTACCTACATGTACATGTACTGTACAGTACATGTGCTTGTACATGTACAAATGTATGTATGTGCAGGACGTCAAGGTGAAGCTAGATGTACAGTGTACATTTAGTTACTGTACATGTACTGACGTTGATCACTCACACATAAGTTCACTACCTCACTTTCCTGGCTGCAGCCAGGCTGCGCTGCAACCACACATACAGTGCCCACTGCAGACAAACCACAAATCCGTAAATCAGACCTAAAAGTGGACACACATGGCCGTGTACTGATTGAAGCCATTATATCGTGGGTCGTTCACTACCTCACTTTCCTGGCTGCAGCCAGGCTGCGCTGCAACCACACATACAGTGCCCACTGCAGACAAACCACAAATCCGTAAATCAGACCATGGAGGTAGAATTCTACCTCCATGATCAGACCTAAAAGTGGACACACATGGCCGTGTACTGATTGAAGCCATTATATCGTGGGTCGTTTACCACTAGAAAGGCCATAAACTAGGTGGGGTGGTCTTGTTGCAGCAGTGCCGAGTTTTCACGGCCGTCTCGTGAGGGCGCGCTTCATAAAAAGGCCACGCTTAGCGCTAGCGCCTCGGTGTATACAAGTTAACAGAATTCAGAACAGGGTTTCAAATCAGCAATCATCATACATCCTAGGGGGTTCAGAAGTATTCAGTTGGGTAAGGTATCATTTGAAATCTTTATTCAGTCAAGGCCATTTTCAAGCAAATAATGGAGCCGTTTATATGGGTTATTTATCTAAAATTTACTATGGGTTATTACGCACAAATCATTGCTGGAATACCAACTCATCTCCTGGCGTGCCTTTTCATTCTATTTGTATTATTATTATTATTATTAATCATTATTATTATTATNGGGCTCGGTCCAGTAATGAAGTTGATCTTTAGCTGACGACCAGCACATTCCAATGTAGACTGCCTAGACTCTCCTGCGGCTGGAAATTCCCTTTCCATAAATTCCCAGTCTGGTTGCTTTGTGTTTTGATCAATATGTAATTTGCCTCCTGCAGTGCGACGCGAAAAGGCTTTACCTTTTTATTGGCTGGCAGGTACTGGGCCAAGCCCCTCTGAATGGTGGGCATATTGAATGTGTTTGGAATTTCTTGTTTGCACGGGTTAGACTGGTTCCCGCTCCAGATATACATGTTCACGGGTATCCAGATTTCATATGTAAGGCCTCTGACAAGCTCTTGCGCACACTTTGTACAATAAAGCGCGGTGACTATTTGAGGTTGTTTAAACTACGAAGGCGCATGTTAGGCTTACCACTGAGATACGCGATCTATCATTAAATAAAATTAAAGTGCATATCGCTCTGCAAGTAATAAAGAAGTAAAGAATGATGCGCCAGTAGCGGCTATTATTAGCCTCACATAACGCCTCTCTCCAAAAAATTCGCAAAATCCCAGAATATTCAAACACGTGTTCTTTTTCTTGTCAAATAATTCTGATGACTTCTTATGCATAGGGTAACTAATTAAAGAGAAAAATGAATCATTGTGCATACAGATTGTTGAACATACATGACTCCTTTCACACTGGTTCACAGTTTCCATAATGAGTAGAATTTAAGAGTTTTGCTCTTATCCGCCATTGTCAGTCGTCGCCACGGAACCTCACAGGTCTGATCGGATCATGCAACTCTCTCAAACCTCTCGTCAAAGACTTATACTTTTTACAGCCTTCTTGTGTAGGACACATGACTGCCAGTTATTTTGAGAAATGTTGACCTATTACTGTCAATGACAGCTCGATTTTGTTATACAAAAGGGATTGGGTTGAACAAACCTCCAAATTAGCTGATTTCCTTCTGGGTATTATAATACATTTTCCCGCAGGGCGTAATATTTTATGGAAATAGTCATTGCCTGCTATATCGGTCCCTATGTTCGAAGTGCAAAATCGACAATAGAAGGACTGGGAACATGTCTAGGTAGGTCTATTTATGTAGTTGAAAATTCCCCTACGTGATATGGCTTACCAGGAAATTCGCGGGAAAGACATGCCCGTACATTTTGGCAAACACGAAAGATCATGCATGGACTTTGTACCCTACACTGCGAAGCGATAAGACACTGAGTTTTAATTGGCTGTCAAGCACAGGTGAGTAAAGTGAAATTCTGGGATGTTACATTTACAGTTAATCAGCCAGTTGATGTCCTTAAATTAAATGGCAATTAGGCCTAATAAATAACCAACAAATGGGGCCATTTATGTGTGGCTGTCTAGATGTCAAGGCTTGATCTTTAGCTGACGACCAGCGCATTCCACGCTCCCTACGGAGGACAAGCGGGGCTTAGAACTACACCCCCCCCCTTGGGAAAATGTAAAAGTGGAAAAGGAGGCGGAAGGGAGCGGAAAATGGGGCGAAAAGGGATTAAAGGGAACGGATGAAAATCACCAAAAAATTTGAGATTGACTCCTTCACTGTTGAATAGTGATCTGTCAGTATGGGGTTCATTCATGAGTGCTTCGCACATCTTCCCCTGCAAATTTCCACCCTGCAAAAAAGTGCTCCCTTTAAAGAACTCTGGCTATGCCTATGATAGCTTCTTTCGTGTCTTGTTTCTGGTGACGTTCACCAACGTTTGGACCTAAATATCCAGTGGGTCAAAGGTACCACCTGTACGGCAATAAGTGTGGTAGCATTTTAAAATGAATATACACAGCTTTAATATGTGTTATACGCAATTACAGCCTTAATTAAGTTGGTGATGCAATTTACATAGGGTTTAGGATCGTAGTGCATACATAACTGGGCTTGCTATAGGGTGTAGTCCACTAATTCAAACCCCCACCGAAAACAGTGTAAAATCAGCATAGGTTGTTCGGGGTCCAATAACATGCGTACCAAGATCCCCGATGCATCTGAAACACAATTTAAATTATTGTATGGTCCATAATCTTTCTTTTTAATTTTCTGTGGGTTAACCGATTACATTTTGATGTTATTCCCTCAAAACGAAATTACTCCCCAAGAAGTGATTTTTCCAAAGTCTGCTTTCATCCATTTTTCCAGTGAGAACCCTCAACTTTCTCGGGCACTTAGGACCAATTTTCAACAGTATTTTTTAGCCATTCTGCTCTCAGATGAAAGCCCAAGGACCCAGGAGTTGATTCTGGCATA